GATAGTTCCATAATAACAAACTAATAAAAATCTAATCGGCCAAGGAAGTGGCCTTAATAACAAAAAAAAAAAAAAAAAAAACAATCGCAAATTATAAAAAAAAATTGCCTTTTAAAAAAAAAAACTTTGAACCATAAGATAATAAGATTACAAATTACATCATAAAACTAAACTGAATATCATATTAGAATGCAAACCAAGTATACATCAACTTCATATACAGAGTAGAATAAAAGACCTTCTATAACAAACTTATTCAATATTGTCACCAGTAATATAACAGAACTAGTTGAAAAATACTATAAGTCTCAAAAGCAACAAATTTAACAAATCATTGATTAAAACTTACTAACAACCACTTTAGTTACCTTTGAAGAAGATGGCCTTGAAGAGTTCAATAATGCTTCTGTGATACAAACAAAAAATATTAAGCATATTGAGAATAACAAAAATAGTTAATATCATAATATAATACAAAAAGACATTACCAAAATAAAACTAGATCTTTTATTATATATTTGCTGTCTAAACTAAAACCTTTCATTTAAACAAAATCCTAAGCAATAATAAAATTACCCCAATTTCTACCCAAATATTAAAATCAGCCTAAATCCTAAAGTACAAATTCCAAATCCCAAATGGTTTTCTGAATTGGGAATTAGGCAAACTTCATTTCATCTGTTTAAACTCCAATCCTTTTGATAACAACTTCTAATACTATATAATTCGTTTTTCCCAACTCTAATTCTATTTTGATAACCTGGAGTTGGTTTTTTCTGGTAGCACAAAATATTGTATAAAACTAATAAACTTACATTGATAGGTTCAATTATAATTGCTTCAGAGGATATCTCTAATGATATTTGTTTTAATACATAGGATAAAGTAGAAAACTATTTTAATGAATACAGAGTTAGAAATGGCTTTGCTATTACCAAATACTAGATAGAACGAAACAATTTAGGTCAAATTCACAAAAGAACCTTTATTTGTGAATTCAGTAGGAAATATAAATCTAAAAAAACAATTGAAGCTGCTTTAAAAAGAATACAGAAAATACAAAAACCAAAAAAACAAATTGCCTGTAGCATATTAACTTATCTATTCCAGAATGAGCTGCACAAATTTCAATTACAAAATATGATAATTAATATTATTATGCTCTTTTTCCTGAAACTCGAAGTTTTGGAGTAAAGTATCAAATGTTATCTAAAGAAGCACTTAATGAAATAAATATAATAACAAAGCATGACAATTTGTTATTAACGATACCAAAAAGTCTTTTAAAAGCTCAATTTCCTGACCTAAATTTTTAAGACCAGGATTTGGTGAATGTAATTCAAAAAACAAAAAGTACAACTAAGATTAGTAATAATGCATCAGTTTTGCTTACTTCTTTAATACAAAAAAAAGTTAGAAGATCCACACTGGGTTGTTGACTTTGAGCTAGATAATAATAATTACCTAATTCATCTTCTTTAAATGTCTTTAGGCCAGATTGATCTTTAGCTTAGGTATTATGATGTTGTTGTTAATAACAATATAGCTTGAACCAATCAATATCAAATACTATTAGGACTTTTTGTTGTAATTAACAACAAGTGTAAAACCTGTCTCGTCTGCTAAGTATTAATGAATGATGAAACTATTAATACGCATGTATAGATACTTGAGTATATCAAAAAAGCTGTAGACAAAGTTCTAATTTTTATGTTTACTGATAGAGATCTTGTATTTGATGCTGCAATTCTAATTGTATTCCCTGAAACATATTCAGCTCACTGTATCTTCTATATAGAACAAAACTTATCTAAAAATCTAAAAGCAAAGTTGGGTATTAATTAGGATAATTTCATCAAGTAGTTTTATAAATATTGTAATAGCTTATGTTAACTACTCTTTAAAGAAAGATAGAACAAATTACTTAATGATTTTTTAATAGCAAAAGACTATCTTTTATGTATACTAGATCTGAAATATCATTCATAGGCTTGAGCTTATTTCTATAGACTATTCATAGCAGGTATTGAAAATATATCAAGAGTCAAAAGTTATAACTGGATAATCAAGTAATAATTAAAAGCAAATAGTATGCTATGCGAACTTGCTGATTAGCTTAACAAAAGATTAAAAGATGAAGTACAATAGAGTCAGTTTCATGATTACAGACAAGCTGTTATAATGAATACTATTTCTATTGCCAGACAAGATTTATTTTCTAAAATAATAAAGGTTATAGATGAATATCTCATTGAACCTATTTCTAATGCAATTAAAATGAAGATATCTCAGTATCTATTTGTTAGTGCAAACAAAATTGAGCCTAGTGTTGAAGAGTTACACTATGAACAGGTAATGATATATAATACTAAATTAGATGTTTAATTAAAATTAAAATTTAAACTAATAGTATACCTTGTATCATAAAGGAAAATAATCAACTGGCATCTGAAGGATTTATCAAAGATCAATGTGATGCATATCTCATTATACTCTGGGCAATTGTGGACAAAGTAGAACAGGAAGAAGTATTAGAATTCTGAAAAGTTATAGACATAAGAAGTGAAAAATGATGTTATGTACATTTTGTTGTCATTGCCAATGTGGTATCCTTCTTATACTCATGCCTAATGTCTATCTTAAAAGGAATCATATACTGCTACTATTTCTGCATCATAATACATTCAAAAATCGCAGCATTCTATATTAGCATAATATCTCAGAGGTGATATAAAGACTACTATTAGGATGAATTGATTCCTAAAAGAAAAAGTGCAATATTTAAATATAAGATAGGCATTTTTAATGACAAAGAGGTCTTACCAACATAAAAACCTACTACTGTTCCAATAATAGTATCCATAGTTAAAAATTTATTTTTATTTTTTTTTTAACATTCAGCAGTCATGCTAATACTTTTATTAAATCAAATTTTAACTATTGTTAAAACATTGCTACATTAGTTGATATACTAATCTAGTAATTTTTCTTAAGTACTAACTCACCTGATTACTATAATAGTACCTATGTGCGATCTGCTATAGTGACCTTTCTCCTCTTTACCCTTAGATTCTTAACCGAAAACTAAAAAGTACCTCGAAAGATGGTCACCACAACCCATCATGACTACTATAGTTAGTGCCACTCTATCCTTAATCTAGGATATAATCCTAAAAAAAAGATAGAGTGTAGCCTAACTATGCAAGAAAAAAATAAAAATTGTTACATATAACGAAAAGAAAAAACTACATATTATATAAACCTAATATGTAGAGGAAAAACTTGCTAACAAGTTAAAAAACCCTAACATATATAACAAAGAGAAAAAAGAAAAGCACTCCTCAAAAAAAAGTGTAAAAAAATAAAAATATTATGCTATACGATAAATGAAAGTGCATATCTCTGTAATATCTCTTCATGTATTAACTCCAATTTTGTTTATTTCACTATAATCACGATCTGAGATGATTTTCTTATCCAAATTTTTAATAATAGTATTAATGAATTAGTATATTAGTATATTGAACTTTTAATATATAAGAGTTTTTGTGATTAAATTTTCATCATCCGTTTTGTTATATCTAATAAATTTATTATATAATTCTTTGATAGATTAGTACAAATTTTTAGATGCATGTATGAATATACAATCAGACTAGATATAGTAAAGTCTTCATGTTGAATTATATTTTTTTACTACATATAAAAATAATTACTAACTATATAAAATATGTTCATTATTGTCTACTATTGTATAATTTATATTGAAATGAAGAACAGAGGTACTCTCTACTAAAGGCGTGATATATGACTTGGGTAAGTATCTTTTTATTTATTTTTGAATTTTATCTAATGACTACTAATGACTTTCAGTTTTTATACAGAAATTTTCGATATTTCTAACTCTTGTGCTGTGAAAGATAAATTGTTATTATTATTATTATTATTATTTCAAGCTACTTTTGTGTATTTTACAATTCTAACAACTTTATCTATTTTTAGGTTCTCTCTCATCACATTTTCTATCACATTCACACCCGATTGTTTCTCTTCAGATTAATTGGACTTTTCCATTCGTTTTTTTTAATAGACCTTTTTCCAATTCGTCTTGTTTTAGGGTTGTGGGACACAGGTATTTTTACTTAATTTTGGATCAGGTTTTTTATTGTCAATTGGTCATGTTCTAATATTATGCCACAATTTTAAACTATTAATGTCTGAAGCAAGTACGTATTGATTATCAGCAAATTTCGGTTTGTTAGGCTAATCTGTGTCAATTTATATATTTTGATTAGCATTTATTTGATCACATAACTGAAATCTAACATAGATCCTCACTATACTTTGGACAACAAATAGTTTGATACAGTGTTCTGAAAAAGACTTCATAGGATTTATAATAAGTGCTAAATTACTTGTTATTACAAAACTATATAGCTTCTATAAGATATTTTATATCTACATTATCTTTTTTTCTAATTCGGGGGATCATCTAAAGCCAGGTTCATTATAGTTAGATTTTTTGATGTATTTATTAGTTTATTTATATATAGATATCAAGAATAGAACTTATGCAATATATAGATCTATATGTAAATGAACCTAGCTTTAACGACCTCTAATTCGGGAAATCTACATCAATTGCAATCAATTTTTTTTGCAACAATGATCAAAAAAAAAAAAAACAATAGTATCTAAGCATCTAAATTAATAGATCAGCTCTCAATTTTTAATTAGTGAAACATAATTTAGACAGTCAAGTAAGCTCGTCATTGCAATGAAAAAAAGAACTATATATCACACTATGAACCTTTAGCAAAATTGCCATAAGAATTACCTCAATTAATTATGGTGCTTGTGTATGTTCTCGTTTACTAGCTAATCACATTGCAGAAGATGCTTGAGAACACCCTAAATCTATTATCATCGTAAATAAAAAATGCTAGAAAGGTAACTTTAACTATAGTATCTATCTAATTTTTAAAATGGTTCTAATTTTGTGTTAGATCAACGATTATAATGTTACAGTTTCAATATAAATATTTTATTAGTTATATTGTTTTGGCCTTGAGCTTTAGAAGCAAACTAGCTTGCTATTTGCACTTAGGTCAATAATCATAATGTTACTATATTTCATCAGTTATACAGTGAGATTTGGAGACAAACTAATACTTTATTTGCATAAGTTATTTAGTGGTATATATATATATACTGTTGCATAGTTTATTAAGCAACTACTACAACAATTAACACAATCAGTCAAACTGTTATTTTAATCTACTTATTTTGAAACATAGGTATTGTAAATATATTTTCTTCCTAATTTGGGAATGGCTAAAGCTATATACCTACATGATTTTAACATTTTAATTGTTTTAATTAGAATTAAGGTTAGGATATTGTAATTTATTGCCATAGCGCTATGTCGCCACTACAATTAGAATGCAAAATCAGATATAACATGAGATCAAAGCAAAACCTAGCCTTTTTTAAAAAATCGTCTGTTACTCAAAAATTTGCCTATAAAACTACCTATTACGTTCTAATTAAAAAAAAATTCATTGCGAATTTTAGGTTAGAAACACTTTACTAAAATCACGTCTAACTACAATCTAATACTAAATCTAACTGTAAACTAATGCATTATTATTGTTATTTGATTTAGCATTATATGTGATCTTATGAGTAACAATACATTGCATAGGCGAAAAATTATAAAATCCTTATATTTATATTAAAAAATTATAAATACTGTATAATAATTAAATATTGTTAATAAATATATTACAAGTATTTTATATAAATATAATATATGTATTAAAAAATTATAAATTTTATATTTTTTATATATAAATTGAATATTGTTAATAAATATATTACAAGTATTTTATATAAATATATTACAAGTATTTTATATAAATATAATATATATATTAAAAAATTATAAATTATCTATTTTTTTAATATATTAAATTAATAATATAAATAAAGTATTATATAAACATTTTATATAAATATTAAATTTATATTAGTTTAATGTTAATTTAGTATTTATATTAAATAATTATATATTATAAAATATTAATACTTGTTGAATATAAGGTATGTTAGAATCTGTTTAATAAGTATTTAAAATAAATATTTTCTAAATAATTAATAAGCATTTAATAAATACTTGATTATACTTTGTGATGTAGTTAAAAAGAAATATATCCAGTAGTTGCATGTCTTTTGGTTCTATATACAAATACTATAGCTGGTATATGTATATTCTAATCTTCATCTTTTTCTTTCACTTTTGCAAGAAAACTGCAAAATGTTCTATTTAGTCGTTCAACCATTCTATTGGTTTAGAGGTGATAAGGGGAAGAGAATATATGTTTAATTAAGAATTTTTTACATAATATTCTTACTGTTTTACTTGTAAAATTTCTTCCATTATCAGAGAGTATCATTTTAGGTACTCCATATCTACAAACTATTTTTTCGAATATAAATTTTGCTAAGGTTTCAGCACCTGCATCTGATACTACTTTTGCTTCTAGCTATCTGGTTAAATAGTCAGTAGCAACTATAATATAGTGATTATTCTGTTTCATTATTGAGAAGAGTCCTACTAAGTCGATTTCTATACATTCAAAGGCATGTCTAACTTGGATAGAATGGAGAGGTTCTTTTCTTTTTCCTTTTCCTCTTTTCTGGCATACTTTATATTATCAAACATAATTTTGTATATTTCTATACATCTGATCCCAATAATATTTTTCAGATATTTTATAATACATTGTATCTGTTCCTAAATGTCTATCTGTAGGATGTCCATGTATCATGTAGAGAATTAGTTCTACTTCAGTCCATTTTATCACTCGAATAGGTTTATCTGAATCTTTTCTATTCTTTTTGTATAGTAACTTATTTTCTAATTTATAATATCTAAATTGTTTTAGAAGTGTTCGTTTTTCAAAGTCTGTTAAGTCAAAAGGAAGTTCATCTGTTTCTAAATATTCTACTAAATTTTGGTATTAGTCCAAATTTATGTTTTAAGAATAGAGATAGGGTGTATTTGATTCAGTAATCTTGAGAAGCTATCAACATTAGAGTGTTTTTGTTCAGGTTTATATATTATTATAAAGTTGTAGGGTTGAAGTTTCATCATCTATCATCCTAATCTTCTTTTAGATAAAGAAGATTTTAACTATTGAAGAGCTAAATGGTCAGTAATTAGAGTAAAGTAGTGAGTTCCTAAGTATTTATAAAAATGATCTATAGCCCATACTATAGCAGCATATTTAAGTTCAGTAGCACTATAGTTGACTTCTTCTTTTTTTAAACTTTTGCTTGCATAGGCAACTGAAAGTTCTTTTCCATCATCTGAGATTTGGCTAAGAGTAGCTCTATATCCATCATAGGAAGCATCAGTAGCAAGAATAAATTCTTTTTTATAATTAGGATAAATTAATATAGAGGCAGTTACTAATCTATGCTTCAATTCTTCAAATGCTTTCTAATAATTGTCATCTTATTTATAAGGAGTATCTTTATG